GCACCATAGCAGATACTGCACCATAGCAGGTACTGCACCATAGCAGGTACTGCACCATAGCAGATACTGCACCATAGCAGGAACTGCACCATAGCAGGAACTGCACCGTAGCAGATACTGCACCATAGCAGATACTGCACCCAATTTCCTCTAACTCCTGCTCCAAGAGAGAGCTGATTCTCTCTTCAGGTCACACTAGGTCACTGCACTTGTGTGCACAAACCCAGTTCACACACATGATCTAAAAGTTGAAATTTGAAAAAAAATATAAAAAATATTGCCCCCCAAGCCTCCCGCTGTTAAGCAGACAGAGGACCCTCTGAGGAAAGGAGGGAACCACGTGGCCCGCACATGGACTGGAAGACAATTGCTGACGCGATGAGATAATCTTTATTTTCTTAGTAACAACTTTGATGCTTTACAGATGTGAAGTCAAAAGGTTGGAGCAATTATCACTTTGTTGAAGATCACAGATCCAGCCACAATAGTTAAACTTCTTTTCCTTTGGAGACTCTCTCTGTAGATAGATAGGAAGCAACTTACTGTAGATTTGGGCCTGATATGGGTGTTGCTTTTTGACACATTTCCTTTGACGATGAGACGTCTATCTTGGAACAGCAGCTAGACTTCATTGCTCACACTTGCTAGTTCAGGGATAGAAAGCCTGCCCAGGGCATAGCCACGGAACCATTGGCAATTCAAGTCAAAGGCACTGGCTTAATTGGTTTGCTTTCTCTCTCGTTAGTTCACTGAGCTGTTTCCTGGGAACAACTGTATGGGTCAGCCCCTGTGCACAGCGCTGATAGCTATGGGGTTCTGGAGGGAAGTACTGCATCAGAGTTGTGCCGAGCTCTGCACTGGCAGGCTAAGAGCCTCGCTAATGTACACCTCCATCACCTCATTCTTGGCATACGTTGGGAGTACGACAACAAGATTTGGTTGTTCAAAGGGTTCCTTTACTTTTGTACACTCCCAAATCGATACTTTTCTCCTTGTGAGGAGAGGAACCATTATGCCGTGGGATGCATGTGTGGAGGGGAAGCACGGTGAGGGCAGAGGAAGCAGAGCCAGAGGAGTCCCTGCTGCTGCTCTGGATCAGAAAACCAAAGCATCCACACATGGCACCATTGGGGATGCCTGGAAGTGATGATTCACCTCCAGGGAAAACAGACTAGATATCGTGGGTGCTTGTGGGAGGTGTGTTCAATGATGGGAAGATGGGAGAAGCAGATTGCAGGATAGCAAATTCAGCAACACTGTGATTGTGGCAACAGGAAGTTCCGGCGCTTGTGCTCGCCGAAGTCAGTACACAGAAGTATAGGGAGCCAATGGAATTTAAAAGTGCAGATCAACATCGTAAATTTTATTTTAATTTTAATTTAGATAGGCCCAAATATGTGAGATACACCTATCTTAAAGTTCAAGTTCAGAGGCATATTCTATGTTTTATCTGGCAACTCTGTACTTTGAGGGCTTTCCCAGAACCTGGACACCAACAGCAGACAACAGCATTATCGGATTCTACACTCAGCTGTTTTTTACTTTGTGACCCATCGCTTCCTCCGAATGGGTAGGTAGAGTTGCCTCTTCCAGAGAGCGGTAAGAACCCAGCTTTTCTTTCCTTACCCAACACACCAGTTTTGCAGACCAGGGTTAAGAGCACAGGAATCCGGGAATCCTCTCTCCTGGAAGCCTGCTCATAAGTGGGTTGGCAGCGTTTCATTCCTGAAGACTCCTTTTCTGCTGGCACGAGGCTCCTACACCAACCATGCCAACCCTCTGCTCACCATCTTTCTCTATTCTTGTTCCCGTAATTCTGCAGCCCCTAATTATAAAGTTATAGGAAAGGTGAATCCCTCTGGGAGAGAGACTTTCTGACAGCAGGCACCTGACTGGGAAGTGAGGCTGTCTCTTTATTATTGATGCCTCTTTTGGTTTAAGAAGAGTCATTGCTTTTTGTGTCCTAACCCTTCAAACCAGGGCTTGGGGTGCCCTGTTTTGTCTGTTTTTCCTATCTCCCCACAAAGTCTCTTTATGCCCCCCCAGTGTTGCCTGAATTTGACTTTCCCTGTTAGACCATCTGTCCCCAAAGATGTCTGTAATCTAGAAGGTTAGCCTGACCTGTGCAGATATGCAGAGCCAATCGGGTAGGGATTTACATGTGAGTGGTTTATCATAGGGACTGGCAAATGCAATGGGGCAAGCTCAGAAGCCCTACTGTGTGCCACTCAGGGAAGACAAAGAACCAGGCTGCAGTCTGAAGTAAAGAGAACAAGTTGTGTGTGTGTGTGTGTGTGTGTGTGTGTACTTATGTATGTATATATTCAAAAGAACAGAATGAGTTAGCTTCCCTTGGTCTTTGTATTCTCTCCAGAAGAAAGATCTTTGCCCCATCTGTTGTTCTACCCATCTCTTCTAGAAACACTCTCAGAGACACACCCAGAAATAATGTTTTACCAGGGGAAGCTAACACATAACACTGACCATCAGAGGGCCTGAGCAGTCCCAGTTCTTACTCTGGGCCCTCTTCTTCTGTGTAATTTAAGTTAAAGGAGTCCATTTGATATACAAGGTATTGTGGGTTGGATCCGAAATGTCTCTACTGGCTGTCCAGAATGTGGCATTATTTTCAAGGCTATGGAACCTTCAGGAAGTTGAGCCTGACTAATAGAAGTAGTAGATCATGGGGGTAGGAATCCTAAGGAGGTGCCTACTCCTGCTCTCTCCTTTCTAGTCCACCACTGTGTGAAGACCTGCTGCTACAGACGGACCACAAGCAGAGCCACTCTGCAATGCCTTTTGCGCTATAATGGAGTGCAATTTCTCCCTTCAGATGGCCTTCCAGTATTCTGCCACAGTAATCAGAAAAGCAGCTGACATATAAGAGTCCACTCTCTGCCTTCAGTGATCAAGAGCTTCTGATTGGACACCAGCCCCTGGTATTAATCTATCCTATTCAATATCCACTCAGTGCCTACGTTTTACTGTAGCAAATGTCTTCATAATGAAGCTGTGTCGGTGATGGTCTGTCCAGGAGACATTTATTCAAGCCCACCATTTACTGTCACATCTATGGCTTTGGATGCTGGAACCTAATTGTACTGATAGGGCAGCCAGGGCTGAACTTTGGTCTGTGCAATTGATTGGGCCAGACATTGAGAACTCTAGGTGATGGATAAAATCTGGCATCAGAACAAGAAGATACAGAGCGCTATGACCATCACAAAAGGTGTCAAGTGGGAGGAGAGCCTACAATGTGGGGATACCTGTTAGAGCCAAGATCTGAGCTGCAGACTCAGGTTTAGGACTAGGACTTTGCTTGAAAGGTAGAGGAGAGACCGTAGGGACAGAGCTGAAGGGGCTGTGGACATCTTGGGTCTCAGTCAAGGCTTGGGTATAAGCATGGACCCAGTTACTTAATGCAGAGACCAAGAGGGGTGTTGGTCTCAAGGTCAAGTCAAATTTCCCACCTTGTGAAAACATGGTCAACAGTTGGGTAGCAGTGTTTTGTGGGAAATCAAAGTCTTGAGTTAGAATTCTACTTCTCTAATATTGGAATGATATGTTTGGGTTCCATGATGCTGAGCCCACGTTTGTGGTGTAAGTGATTTTGGAAGGGCCAGATGGGCTGGTGGGAGCTGGGCAGAGTCTGCTGTTAGTATTGGCCCATCATGGGCTACTACCATCCGAGATGTCTAATGACTGTTTCAGGAATTGAAGAGCACTTCCACTGCAGGAATCAACCCAGTCAAGCTAGATTTCTGGATAACTTTTAAGGCATCAAGTGAAAAATATTACTCCAATTGGAAAACCAGACAGAGTGGCCTGACTTCCTCGGCAAATTAGGGACCTTAGCTTGGCCCCTATGTCATGAAATGAAGGAGGAGGTGGTCCTGGAGTTGGGCACTGAGACCTGGTGCATTTATGGCACGGAGTGGTGTCTGGCAACCTGTAGTGGACCAGTTCTTCCCACAGTGTGCGACTTCTGCACTGCAGGGCACTCATGTCAGATAGTCTCTACAGGCGCCAGCTCGGGAGCTCACGAAGACCAGGTGTGGCACTCAAGTGACTGCAGAAACAGCAACAACAACAAAGTCTCTGGTAAAGTAATTACTTATATTGTTCTCTCATTAAATAATAATTGGAAGTCAGATATTGGGGTAAAATCTGCTAGATCCAAACGGAGGAACGATCAGCTGACCCTGCCTCTCCACAGTACCAGATTGAAAAGACACACAAATCTCTCCGAGCCCCTCCCTATTCCTTCCTGTGTCTCTCTATCTTAATCTGGGTCAGTTGAAAATTCTGTGGTTAATTCAGGCCAGCTGACTGTTGACTCTGCCCTCTGGTTCAAGGTTTAACTTTACCGGCAGTCTCGGGAGTGCCAGAATGCCATCACAACGTTATGATCGCACAACATTCTGGTCAACTGCAGAAGGGCTGGTGCCCAGCCTGAGCTCAAGGGTAAGGTTAAGAAGAAAGTACACAGCAGCTGTCTCCTTGGAAAGAGGCTCATACTGGGAGACCCAGACTGGGGAGGAAGTGCTTAGCTGCAAAGGTCATTGGGAGAGTATGCTCGCCAGTGTTTTGCTCATAGAACAAGCGTTTATGGCAACAACTGTCTCCTCTGACCTTGCCTGCCTACTCTGTCCTGGAAAAGTCAGGGAGCTAGCTCTGATCCTGAGAATCCGGGTTGAAATTTTAAAGCTCCTGGGATAGATAGTTACAAGCCAGGCTGTCCTTTGCAGCTGTGACTACAAACTATCTGCATAGAGTAAAACGGAATCAGAAGCCTTCATTGCACTCAGCCACATCTGTAATGCAAAGCTATTCCAGGTAAGTGCCTGGGCCAGGCCCAGGATGTGCTGAGGACTAGCTTCTGCCACTTTGGGGTTGAGGCTTTTGCAGTGAGTGCCCCCTGCCCGTTTTCTTTATTCTCCTATGCTGAGCTGTCTCCGTGCTCCAGGCTCGAATGTTAACACAATGTCAAAAGATGCTTAGATTAGGAGAAATGATAATAAGGTAATAATCCTGAACACCTGCCTAAGCCTTTTCACGTTTAAAACTATAATGACAGCTAATAGCTGCACTCGATTCTCCTAACAATTCCGGGGAGGACGCCAGGTCATCGTTATTATCCTAATTGTTTGAGTAAGGGAACTAAGGTGCAGAGGGGTTGAGTAACTTCTCTTAGACCACTCAGCTATTCTGGTCTTGGGCTTTTTCTCAGCAGAGGTGGGCGGGGCTCCAGGCAAGAGTGAGAAAAGACTTCGGAAGCTCCAGTTGCTTGTTTAGGCCATTCTTGTACTCTCCCAAGGTCATTTACAGGAGGTGAGAAGAGTTGGCCCTATTGCCTGGACCGCAGCTCCCCTGCTTACTCTCCAGAAAAAGTTTGGTTGGGAGATGCTTCCCCCCAAGGGTTTGGATGCCTGGAACATTCTTTCCTCTCATTGCGTTCATGACTTCAATGCTTGCCAAGGACAGTCATTTCCATAGAAGTTCTTACTTAATGCAGAACTCTGTTTTTAGTTTTCTGCTAATTTCAACTCATTTGTTCCTTATAAAAACCCTAAAGGGGAAACTATTGTCTCCGTTTTGCAGGCCTGGGTGTGCACAAGGCTCTCCGGAAGGTTCTGAAGCTGGATTTTACTCAGCCAGATTCAGGTGGGTACCGGCAGTCTACATTACTAACATGTGATGCCGTCTAGGCTGCTGGGAGGATTCCCGTCTTCCAGAACCACTCTTTAGGGTCTTCCAGGCAGCTGCTATGAAGCAGCTGAGTTTCTGAAGATGGAGACACTTGAAGGTATGTTTATTCTATAGGCTATGGAGGAGGGCCTGGGAGTTGGTAGCTTTACAAGTCTCCGTGGAGATTCCTGCATATAGCCTGTTGTAGGAACTTCTGAGCTGATGACTTAGCTTCCCACATAGAGATTGAATTACGAGAATAGATCCAATGGCACAGGAGCGTTGCCTGGCTGTGAGCACACAAATGATGGTCATCTAGGCTGTTTCTGTGCCCTAGCTACTTTGAATAGAGCAGCTATGAACATGAATGAGCATGTGTCTCTGTAATGAGAAATAGATGCCTTTGGACATAAGTCCGGAAGTGGAATAGCTGGGTCTTGTGGTAGATCTAGTTCCAGTTTTCTTGAGGAACCACCATACTGATTCCCACATTGATTGCACTAATTTGCATTTCCTGCCATCGCGAGAGCTTCCTGCTTTACACATCCTTGTTGGGTCTCTAGCCAAAGGTGTCTGATAGGTTCCCTTCCTCAAACATTACAGACCATTGCCAAGGCTACTAGTTAAGCTGCATGTGACAGGAAGGCCTAATAGCTGAAGATATCTCTTATGCCATCAAACAAGTAGAGATGGAGCTGGAACCCATTTGTCAATACTGAATAGTGTTCATGGCCATACAAGGTATTATATAAGTACACACTACTAGAGGAAAAAAAGCTAAGGTAGGCGCACAATTCCACCCTTGACTAAAAAAAACTTATTTGCAATTGATACCGGCTGCTACAAGGAAAATCAGTTTTGCCTGTGGAGTAACAGTTACATCAGCCACACTCCAGGGCAGGCCTCATAATCAGAAGTAGCTGAACAGCTAAAAATGGAATCTATTATTTTGTGTGCTTTTTTGGGGGGGGGGTTCGGTTTTATAAACTATGGCTCTGAGGAAAGTGTTTATCAGCTCTGGGAGTTTCCTAGTGGAAGGTTTGGGGGCTCTCTCATGCAGATGATCACACCATCTGCAGGTGGGAATAATTACCTTTTCCCTTTCCTATTTGTATTCCTTGATTCCCACTCCCCCTTTTGTCCTATTGTTCTAGCTAGGACATCAATTACTATATTGGATAAGGCTGATTAGAAGGGACATCCTTGCTGTTCCAGATTTTAGTGTGATTGCTTCAAGTTTTTCTCTGTTTAACATGATGGTAACCATTAGTTTGTCATAGATAGACTTTACTATGTTGAGATATGTTCCCCCATCTCAAGTCTGTCTAAGTGTTTTTTTTTATCACTTTTAAAAGTTTTTGTTATTTTTTTCTTATTGCTTTTTTAATTGATTTTATTGAGTTATGCATTTTTTTCTACTCCCCTCCCATCTTCTCCCCTCCCCTTCAACCCTCTCCCGTGGTCCCAATGCTCCCAATTTACTAGGAGATCTTGTCTTTCTCTAATTCCCATGTGGATTAGATCCATGTGTGTATCTCTTAGGATCCTCACTGTTGCCTAGGTTCTCTGGGATTCTGAATTGTAGGCTGGTTTTCTTTGCTTTATGTCTAAAAGCAACTTATGAGTGAGTATATATGATATTTTTCTTTCTGTTTTTTTTTGTTACCTCACTCAATATGATGTTTTCTAGATCCATTTGCCTGCAAATTTCAAGATGTCGTTATTTTTTTCTGCTGTGTAGTACTCCATTGTGTAAATGTACCAAATTTTCCTTATTCTTTCTTTTGTCAAGGGACATTTAGGTTGTTTATAGGTTCTGGCTATGACAAACAATGCTGCTATGAACATGGTTGAACACGTGTCCTTGTGGTACATATTGAGCATCCTTTGGATATATACCCAAAAGTGGTATTGCTGGGTCTTGAGGTAGGTTGTTTCCTAATTATCTGAGAAATTGCCATACTGATATCCCCAAAGGGGCTGGACCAGCTTGTACTCCCACAAAACTGAAAAGCTTCTGTAAAGCAAAGGGCATGGTCAACAAGACAAAACGGCAGCCTACAGAATGGGAAAAGATCTTCACCAACCCCACATCAGACAGAGGGCTGATCTCCAAAATATACAAAGAACCCAAGAAATTGGTCATCAAATGAACAAATAACCCAAGGGGAAAAATGGAGTATAGGCCTAAACAGAGAACTCTCAACAGATGAATCTAAAATGGCTGAAAGACACTTAAGGAAATGTTCAGCTTCCTAAGCCATCAGAGAAATGCAAATCAAAACAACTCTGAGATTCCNCTGGAGAGGATGTGGGGTAAAGGGAATGCTCCTGCATTGCTGGTGGAAGTGTAAACTGGCCCAGCCTTTTGGATACCAGGTGTTATTTGTTGTTGTTGTTTTATCATGAAGGGGTGTTGACTTTTCCCCAAAGGTCTTGTCTTCATCAGCTGAAAGGATGGTGTGGTTTCTACCCTTCAGTCCATTTATGTGGTGAATTATGTTTATTATTTACATATGTTGACCCATCCCTGCCTTCCTGTAATTCTCCAAATTAATCATGATGGAGAATCTTTTGGATGTGTTCTTTATGTGGTTTCTAAGTACCTTTATTGAGAATTTTTGACTTTCTGTTCATCAGGGAGATTGACATATAATCCATCTTTTTTCTATTTCATGGAGTAAGTTAGATGGTATTGCTGTTAGTTCTTTAAGGTCTTTTAGAATTCTGAATTGAATCCTTCTTATCCTGAGCTCTTTTTTTTTAACAGTTTGAGGATTTCAAATTACTGATTTTATCATTGATTATTATAGATATGTGTTTAATCATTAAATTAATCTTTCTTACCTTTGGTAGGTTGTATGCATCTAGAAATTCAATTGTTTCTTTTAGATTTTCCAGTTGGTAAAATATAAAAATGTAAAGAATGCCCTCATGGTTCTTTGAATTTCTTAAGTTTCTGTTGTAATATGTCCCTTTTCATTCCTAATTTTATTAATTTGGGTCTTTTCCTCTTTTGAGTAATTTGCCGAAGAATTTGTCAATATTGCTTATCTTTTTGAAGAACTAAATCTTCGTTTCATTGAGGTTCTTATATATTTCTTTTTCATTAATCTCTGCCCCGACTTTCTTATTATCTCAGTCTTCACTGATTTTCTCCATCTAGTGCTTTGGGGATTTGTTGGTTCTTGTTTTTCTGATGCCTTCAGGCTCATCTTTAGGTTGTTTATTTCAGGTCTTTCTGCTTTTTAATGTGGGCACTTAAAGCTACACTCTGTGGTACAAATAATAAAAACCCAGAGACAGATATTGTTGCTCAAGCAGAAGATTAGGAAAGTAAAACAGCCAAGCCACTAGAAAAGTCTTAACTTCTGCCATGTCTGGGTGACTGCAGACTGAGCCCTGAGCCTCTGTCTCCTCCTGTCTTATATCTCCTTTAGTGATGCAAAGCTTTCCTCTTAGGACTTTCTTCATTGGATCCCACTGATTTTTGTTTAAGTATAGATTATTTTAACTTCTTGATTTTTGCAATGACCGTTCATCATATAATAGTCTTTCTAATCTCTAAGAGTTTGCATATTTTCTGTAGTTTCTTTGTCTATTGATTTCTAGTTTTATGTCATTGTAACAACATGAGATGTTGTTTTAATTGTCCTGAATTTGTTGAAACTTGCTTTATGTCTTAATATGTGGTGTATGTTAGAGAGGGTTCCGTGGGAGTACTGAGAAGAATGTATACTTTTTTGGTGTTTTGGTAGTATCTTCTGCAGATGTCTGGTAAGTCTATTTGATTACGTTTTCTTAAGAATCCATTAAGGAGTTATTACTATGTGGATTCATCAATACCAACTCCAAATTTCTTTTAGAATTTCATTTTCTGAGATATAGGTAGATGGATGAGCATTGTCAGATTCTCTTGTAGTTAGGACATTGGCAAACTGGCTGAATTTGAGTCTACCAATTACAATCATCTCATCTCTTACTTGGAAGAAATAAGAGGAAACAGTTGCATAAAGAGAAATTGTAACTTTTGGGTAGGAAAGCTTTTCCTGAGGCAGACATGGCCACTGGCCATAGTGTAGATGCAGGCAAAGGTGACTCTTCCTAATAGTTCTGGACTATAGCTGGTTGTTTGGTAACAAGGAAACTTGGTTCTTTGGTTTTCCTGTAGAACTTACAGCCTTCTTCTCACCCCCTCCCCACTTCACAGTGCCTCTTTTTTTCCTTGTTTTTCTGTTTTTTTTTTTTAATTTTATTGAACTATACATTTTTCTCTGCCCCTCTTCCTTCCTCTCCCTTCCCCCTCCCCCTCTCCCATAGTCCCCATGGTCCCAATTTACTCAGGAGATCTTGTCTTTTTCTACTTCCCATGTAGATTAGATCCATGTATGTCTCTCTTAGGGTCCTTGTTGTTGTCTAGGTTCTCTGCGATTCTGAATTGTAGGCTGTTTTTTTTCTTTATGTCTAAAAGCCACGTATGAATGCTTACATATGATATTTGCCTTTCTTAGGTTTTTGTTACCTCACTCAATATGATGTTTTCTAGCTCCAACCATTTGCCTGCAAATCTCAAGATGTTGTTATTTTCCTCTACTGTATAGTAGTACTCCATTGTGGAAATGTATATTTTGGAGATCAGCCCTCTGTCTGATGTGGGGTTGATGATGATCTGTTCCCACTCTGTAGGTGTTTGTTACTATCATCCTTATTCAAAGATGAGAAGACGTACATGTAAAGATGAGAAGACATACATGTAAAGATGAGAAGATGTATGTGTAAAAATGGTAAGATGCCTAAACTCATTAGGGCATAAACCAGGGAGAGGAGCTTGGATTTGCACCTGGGTGTTGGCTCTGTAGCCAATAATTGGACTCTGGGCCTCTTTCTGATCCCCACGAACTGTGTAATATAGTCATTGTTATTATTTCATTATTATTACTGCTGTTGCCATTTTATGGATGCAGAGATGTGGTGTGTTCGGAAAGATTCCACAGTCTCAGCTGTTCAGCTGATTAGTAACAGCACAGTGCACTCAAGACCTGCAGACTGATAGCTGGGACCTTTTAGAATAGGCCCACAGCTGGCTAGACTTTCTTCCCTACAATTGGCCTTTTAGTTATTTACCTACGATGAATTATTTGCAAGTCTTTACTTTGATTCATTCGTATTATTTTGTGGGAAGTACTCGCGTCTTTTTTATTTGTGGAAGAATGCAGAGCGCCGGGTCCCAGGGCATTTTGCTATAATGTGCTAAGACCCACACTTCATTTCCTTTGGGGTCCTATAGAGGTGTAGCATGGCCCATAAAAAACACCATTGCTGTTCATATCTCATGATTTTTGCAAATTAATGATCTAAGTAAAATGGACCATTGCCTTTAAGAGTGTGCAATAAAAAATGATAATAAATGCCAGACTGGGGATCATAATGGAAAAACAACTGTTTGGGGTGTTTTGCTATGGTACAGTGTCCTAGCCTGAGTGCATTAAGTGGAGATGGCTGAGTTTTTTTTTTTTTAATCTTTTTTTGAGGGAGGGGGTACATGTTCAATGCCTCAAGTCTTCACACATGGCTGGGTACAGAATAAGAACCGCCTGTGAAGTCAGAAGAGGCTTAAATCCAAGGCTTGCCAATGGGCATTTCAATTAGACAGTGACCTGGAAATTCCTGGAGTGATTTTTGAATTCCTTTCTGTCTCCTTAAGGGCTCCTGCCATGTCTTCTTCTCTACCGTGGTGCTTTGGTGAAGAAGTTAGAACCGCTTGGAGTTTTGCCAAGGAAGGTTCAGGAAAACAAAAGTTAACTGCTGAAACTTTGAAAAAAATTGCTTTACAAAGGAAAGGAAAAACCAAAGATCTTGGGAGAAAAATGAAGCCACAGTTTCTATTATAACTATTACCAGGTTTGGGTAGAACTTTGGGCCAAAGTGTCAACCAGACAGATGTTCTTGCAGTTCACTTTCCATAATAAATGTTGTATTTGCGAAAATATTTTAATGACATCTTGACTCTTTATTAGCCTTCCAATTCTAGAAGATTTTCCAGGTCAGGAGAGGGCCCCGTGCACCATCTTACCCAGTGGCCTCTTTCATTCTGCTGGGGCTCATGGAGAACATTAAACTCACAGATGCAATTATTGCATATATAAAGTATTGATTTCCTAAGAAACCTTGTTAACATTTTCTTCTTCATAATTGACACTGGCAAGAAACACATACAAGAGGCGCTATAGGAGATGAGCCATTGATTGCCACTTGTTGAGACACCAGTGCTTTAGTTAAAGAATAAACAACATTAGAACATAGTTTCAATCTTCAAAAACTGCAAATGAGATCTAGGTTGCATATAAGGGTCCTCATAAAGTCATAGGTCAGGGATTTTCTTTATGTTATCTATTTATTTTTTGTTTATTTTTCATATTTTCATTACATCATTTCTCCCTTCCTTTGTCTCTCTCCAAATTCTCCAATATACCCCTCCTCATTCTCCTTCAAATTCATGGCCTCTTTTATTTTATCTGTTGTCCCCATACTTGTTTTGTATATAGTTTTGATCTATAACATAAGCCACTCTGAAGATGTCATTTGGAGGTGATGTCATTTGGATTATAATTTTACAGATGATAAGGATTTTAGTTGTGCTTGGCAGTGAGAATCACTTACTGAGTCATCTCCCATGAGCACAGCTCAGAGGTGAAAGCCCAATATCAGAAACAATGTACAACCACAAGCCGGAAGAGGCTCTGTAAGCGGACATTTCTGTCCCACCCCCAGCTCCCTCAATAACCACACATGGATTCATTATTAATCGTAAATGCTTGGCCCATACCTTAGACTTGTTTTTAACTTACTCTTATAACTTAAATTAGCCCATTCCTACTAATCCATGTGCTGCCCCAAGGCTCATTTTCCTCATCTAT